TTTTTTCTTAAGCAAAGAAAACAGTCTCTCAAATCAAGGAAGCTAAACCTGAATGTCTGGCTTCCAAGCTAAGAGGTAAATGGATGTTTGTGTCAGCCCCTTTTGCTGGGAAAAGAAAATCATTGTACACAGTGAAAGGTGTGTGTGTGTGAGAGAGAGAGAGAGAGAGAGAGAGAGAGAGAGAGAGAGAGGGTCGGAGGACAGGGAGAGAACTTCCAAACTAGAAAATAGTGGACAAAGACACACTGAACAGGGGCCGGGGAGATGGCTCAGTAGAATAAGTGCTTGCCTGGCAAGTACAAGGGCCTGAGTTCAATCCCCGGTTCCAAAAAAAACCACTGAACAAACACTTTTAACTTTTCCTTCTATATCTGTCCCTTCTCTTCAGAAAAATGGGTAATTAATCCAGAAGAGATCAAACTAAAGTATTTTATGTGAATTGGAGGTAAGAAATGTTCACCATACCAAACTAGCACACTGTTCTCTTGAAAAAAAAGCATTTTAAATAAGCAATTTATAATTGTTTTCTTTCTTTTTCTGTTTTAAAATCCAGTTTAAAGATGACTTCATGACACTATTTGAGCCTTCCATGAGAATGCTGCCCAGCACTGGGCCACCGTCCATCCTGGCATACAGACCCGAGCAATGTCACTTAGACATTAACCTCAAGGTGATTTCAGCTAATATTTTGATTGTTGTTATAAAATGACATGAAATGTTATAAAGTGAAAGTGGCGAATGTGCTTTTCAAAAAGGCAAAGTGCAAGTGCGGTGGGGCACACCTGTAATCCCAGCACTGGGCGGGGACGTCCAAGTGTCCTTGGCTCGCAGCTGCACCACTCCAATCTCCGCCTCAGTTTTCACCATGTTCTCTCTGACTCTCTTGATCCAAATGTCCTTCTTTTCTAAGGCCTCAGTCTTACTAGATTAAGATCCACCCCAGAAACCTTACCTTAACTTGACTGCCTCTACAAAGATTCCATGAAGTTACATTCACCGGTACCAAGAGTTCAGATGGCACCATTTCTTTTGGAGGGGGAGAGGGTGCAATCCAACCCTTAGCAGTAGCCACAAAGCCTGGAAACTTAGGTGAATGTTTGCCATACTTAACTAAGTGGGCAATTAATGCCTGTGCTTGATGGGTGAAGTAAAGGTTGAAGCAAATCGATTCACTGATTCCAACAGGATAGCACTTGACCCAACCACTCCACAGTGATGAAGAAATGACTGGTAAAATGGTCACTGTCCAGCCTGGGATGGACACTGTGGATGTGGAAGAGAACTGTGTACTCCTCAGCTGAATCCCCTGATAACTGCTGGGGCACATGGAAGGTGTGGGTTTATGCCTTGAAAACAGGAGACTTGATGGTACCAAGCGGTGCATCACACATGCAGGTTCGGGGAGTCATGGAAACGCTGTGTGGCCACACTCATGCGGTGCCCAGTGTCATCGTGTGCATCACTGGACTACGCAGGACTAGCAGGGCACACAAAACATATCGTGAGACGTAATGTCAGTAACTGTTGGCTGCTTGTATTGGCCTGGGTTTCTAAACTCCGTGGCTACTCTATAAGGGATTTCAGGATTGAAATCCTTTGCCTAAATATATCACCTTCCTTTCTCTGAACTGCAGAGTCTGGTATCCAGAGAAATTTCTTGAACTGGTGTTACACTATCTTCCTGAACACAAAAAAGGCCTCATGGCCTCTTCCTTGGGCCAGTGTCCCTGCACTGGTGCCTGGTCCTCCACCTGCTTGGCAGGCAGCCTCTGCAGCTCCAGTGTGACTGGTCTGGTCTAGTTCACAGGCAGCTCTCCTCTGTAGCCAGGCCCTTTTCAGGGCCAGATTCCAAGCTCATCAGAGATTTTCTACAGCATCTCCACCTTGGTGTGCCCCAGGTAGAGACCGTGCCCTGAAGAATTCACTACTGAGTCCCTCCAATGGCATAGGCTGTTGCTGGCCTGTCGTCATCAAGCTGTCCATCTGCCCGGCTCCGTCACATGACAGCTGCCCTGGATTTTCACTCTCAGCTCTCCATGGTGTGGCTACCTCCCACGCATTGGGCTTTCAGCAGTGGGTGGTGCTCATGTCAGGAAGTTTCACTGGCCTGAAATTGGTGGACCTTACCTGGGCAGAGAATTCCCGACTGCACTGACTACGTCAGTCACCTTTAGTCCCTGTGGGCATTGTTGCCCATCTCTGAGGATGGTTTTCATGGCAAATCCAGGAGCCCTGGTGATACTTGTGGTCAGTGGGTCACAATCTGGGTCTGGTCCTGGAGGCAATGCTGATGCTTGCCTGCCTGAGAGCTTCTGCATCCTGGACGTGACCTCAGGTCACTTATGTGGCCATAGTGCACCAACCCCTGGTGGAATCACGTGAGCCTCTACCACATTTCCCCCAAATAAGACCTAACTGGAAAATAAACCCTAGCATGATTTTTCAGTGTTCAGAATACAAGCCCTACCTCAAAATAACCCCCAGTTAAGATTGTTAGCCAGGTGCATAAATTCAGTACTTCTGTTGCAACGCACAATGGTTATAGTGAATGATAAAATAATATTAATATATAATTAAATATAAATATTATTATTGATGTTAATACTTAAGTGATACTATAAATTATAAGTGATACCCAAGCAGGCACCTGTAGAGGTTAACACTCATGTAAACAGAGGGCCTGGAGACTTACTGCTGGATGACCAATCAGCATACAGACACAACATGCAAATACGGTGTGCACTGAGGTACGTCGTGTGTCGCGCAGGCTACATGCTTGAGAAGGGCTCATTTAAGGAGCACTCTGTTGCTAGACATGCGAGGTTGGCGTCTGTTGTGGTTTGTGTCCAGATGCCCTCCGAAGCCTAATGCAGTTGGGAAGAAGGCTTTTCAGCATGGCTGGATCTGGAGTGTGTGGTGCTGGGGTTAAGGGTATGTCATTAGCAAATCAGTCCAATGATTGGGTTGGCACAACTGTGACTAGAATTAGGGTGTGCGTGCCACATCCGCCCTGGGGCAGATAGCCTGGATAAATATCAGAGAAAGAACGAGGGCCAGTGTGCTCTCACCGCCTCTTGCCAGAAGCTATCTCCCCTCTGCGATGCTCCTCTGCCGTGGAGCCACCCTGACTATAGACTGAACCTCTACAAGCTGTGAGCCAAATAATCCTTTCCTCCTTCAACCTGGCCGTAGGGCATTTTGTCTCAGCAAGGAGAAAAGGTAACCGGGTCAGAGTCAGTCATTTTACAGGAAAAGGAGTCACAAGAAACTGAGGTCAGAATTCAGGGTGTAGAGAGTTATGATGATATTCCAGAAGAAGGTGACATGACTGTATTTGAATAAATGTAGAATTTTATGCATGAATAAAAGTACATTGTTGCACATGAAAAGACATAAGATAGCATCTGAACATAAGCCCTGTTGTGTCTTTTGAAGCAAAAACTTATGAGAGCTGGTCTTGTTTTGCTGGGGAAGTGAGCTATGCTGTCTCCCCTGCTTGGCTCCCCTCAGCTCCTGAGTTACTGCACCACACAGGTAGGATTCAGAGATCCAACATGAGGCCTCCCTTGAGAAGGGACTTCCATCCAGTTGTGAAAATTGGTAGTGACTTATGGTGGCCTACACAGTAATGTCAAGACTTTTTTCCACCCTAGCACTTCTTGAAGGAATTCATGCTATCCAAACACCTGAGAGTCCTTTCACGAAGTTCAGTGTGTTGCCCAGCCTCTTGCATGTAGTTACAGCCTGTATATCCTCCCCTCAAGGACCATAGTGTCAGCAGTTGTTTCTGTGAATGTCTTCTTATGCCAAAGCCCTGCACGGTTCCTGGGAGGCCCAGCTGTACTTTAGTGAATGGTGGCAGCAGTGGCCCTCAGAAAGCCACATGCTTCCCATCTCCACCAGCCCTCAAGTGGACTGAATGCCACATACTGTAGTGAACACATTGCAGGATCATGCCTTCTGATACAGGATCTCAGAGCCTTGAAAACGCTCCACCAAGTATCCTGGGGCCCAGGAGTCCCTAGACAAGTCTGCCTAGTCCCTGTCACCCCTGCTGTCCCAGTGGGCACTCCCTGGCCTGCCCAAGCCACTCTCAGGGCTTCTGGGCCTCTGTATGCACTTCATCTTTCTCTGTTCTCAAGGATGAAGAGGAGGAGCTCGTACCCACATGTGAATTTTGTGGAGGAAATCTCCAAGAACATCTGTCCAATGTGGACTGCATTTACTGTGAATCAAAATCATGTGTAAGTTCTAAAAGAGGTTGACTGAAAACAACTTGTTACTTTCAAAGGTCTGTAGCATTGCTGCTTTCCCCTGCACTGCCATTCTTAAAACAAGGAAATACAATTCACAAGCACAACAGCAAAGCCATTCACATTCACTAGAATGGTCTGAAAGAACTGATAATAACAAGTGTTGGCAAAGAGGTAGAGAAGTCACAGCCAACACACACTGCTAAGTGGGAGTAGAACATGGGGTAGCGGCGTTGGACAGCAGTCTGGCAGCTTCTCAGAATGTTGAGCATGCAGCTACCACATGATCGAGTGACTCCATCCCTAAGCTTAGACCTACAAAAATGGATACTACGTCCACACAAAATTGAAAATGTCCAACACAAAATGAAAATGCCCACACAAAAGCTTGTACACACACATGCAAAGCAGCATGACTCTTTAACAGACAAAAGGTGGTAGCAACCACGGTATTCATCAGCTGACAAGTCAATAAATGAGGTGCAGCCATACAATTAATCATACTCAGCTGGAAGGGACGTAAACCCTGAGCAGGCCGATACAGATGAGCCCGGCAAACACGACCCTCAGAGAAAGGAGCCAGTTACGGAGGACACATGCGTGGTCCACTTAGAGGAGCTGTAAAGAACAGGCAAATGGAGTGAAACAGAAAGTAGACGAGGGCTTCCGGAAGCTGGAGGGAGGGGAAGTGGCTGCTAGTGGGCTACACCTAAAATTGGTGATGGTGACAGTGACACGCCTCTCAACACACTAAACTGAAAGAAAACCTAATTAAAGCATGCCTTTTAAATGAGTGAATCATATAGTATGTGAATGGCAGCTTAATAAAGCTTCAGACAGAAAAGAGTTACAGTAGCCTGTTACAGCAAAGCCGTAGCCCCTTTAGCTGTTTTTGGTTTCTGTCTCCTTTGCTCTTCATCTAGGGCTGAGAAGATGAAAAGGATCTCTCTGTGTTTTCAGACTTCCTGTTGTCCTCGAGTCCAAAATCTGATCAACTATATCTACGAAGAAAAAAAAAATCCGAAGCTCTAAACCTGAGTTAATCAATATCAAACCTCATGAAGCCCATGGCACTGAAGTTGATAGAATCAAGGCAAAAGAAAAAGCCCTGCAGAGGTAACACAGAGCTCTGGGTATTGGCACTCAGGGCCAGTGTAATTGCAAGTCACCAGCTCAAGCCCAGCCTGGACAACTTAGCAACTTAGGGAGACCCTGTCTCAAAATTTAAAAAATGAAAAAGGATTAGGGATATTTGTTGGTGTGAAGGCCCTGGATTGAATCTTCAATACTGGGTGGGGGGATTTTTGTTATTGTTCTTTTGTTTTTTTTTATTTTGTGAGACAGGGATTCCTTATGTCCCTTGTTTTTTTCTAATTTGTTTTGTGTGTGTGTGTGTGTGTGTGTGTGTGTGGTACTGGAGTTCGAATTCAGGACCTTGTACTTGCCAGGCAGATGCTTAAGCCACTGAGCTATCACCAGCTGTCCCTTGTTTTTTAAGAGTTAACTGTGACAGAGACCAGGGTTCTATCCCTGATACCACATGTCATGCCAGCCCTGCTCCTGGGCCTGCTGAGCCAGCCACCGAGACTGGGTGTGGTGGTGCATGTCTAAAATCCCAGCGCTGGGGAGCCTGAGACAGGAGGATGACTATGAGTCTGAGCTGCCTAGTGAGACCCTGTACCAAATACATTAAAAAAAGGGGGGGGGATTAATTGTGAAGATGTGCTCCCTGCAAAGAAAGAAAAAATGGCCAAAGCAAACATGCAAGCCTATTACAGTTTCTGTTGGGTGTCATGAGATTCAACAGCTCCCAGAAAATTGAGTGAACTCATTCATTTTAAGTAGAATCTGCTAATTCCAAATTATTAGGGTAGTTTAGAATTCCCACTGTGGAGAAATTTACCCAGTGAGTAGCATAGACATCCACACACATGCTCCAATTAAAAGCCTGGTTTCATACATAATGACACATCAAAATAACATGGAATAGCCTTTGAACTGTTGAAATTGTAGTGTAATGTTCAAGTGTCAGCCACAGTTCAGATTTCTCCATGGTGTTTCTGATTCTGCAGAAAACAGGAGCGACAAATTGGCAGGCATTTCGCTATGACACGAAGTGAACAGACAAGTGTCCCCATAGAACGTGAGTTCATCACCACTAACGCTATAAACCAGCCATAGAACATAAGAAAGCTCAGGTGATTGATCAAAAGATGAAATTAGTGTATTTAAAAGTCATGTTGAAGTTTTTCATTTTTAAGTAACATAAAATCTGTATCAGTCAAAATGGCTCAAAGAAATCTAGTGTTTTAGCTGTCTGTCTTGGCATTCTTAGCCTTGGTCTCTTTGTTATTCTGGAGGGTAGTAAATTAGCAGTCCTTATAGAGCACTTACAGACAGCAGCAAGGAGCTTTCCAACTCATGGTCTCTTGTTGTGTGGAGTGCAGACTCCCTTCTGTTGTCAAGCTTGGCTATGGAGTATCTGCCAAACGTAGATCACAATACCTTCTTCTCAGATTGGCTGTGTCTACCGGCTGACCCATCTAGCTGGAGTACAGACAGAGATGGACGACCCTTGATTTGAGAAGAAGTCCTAATATATATAGACTTGCTTTTCTCCCTGGTGACCTGATTCTGGGTCAATTACTTAATCTTTCTGAATACCAAGCTCTTTCTTTACCACTCAGAGCTATTTAGGGGAAGACATTTTTATAACTAAGTCCTTAATGCTGTGAAACATTTCTTGATATTCAAAGGGTTGAACAATTCTACTTAATAAAAATTGCCATTTTTCTTTTTTAAATAACGCAATATGCTTATTTTTTCTAACAAAAGTAGTTCCCCAACTAGCTTAATTTAGGTCTTTATTTCATTTTCTTTAAAAAAAAAAAAAATCTAGCTAGGTGTAGTGGTGCATACTTGTAATCCCATCCCTCAGGAGGCGGAGGCAGGAGGATTGCCATGAGGTTGAGGCCAGCCTGAATTACACAGTGAGTCAAAGGACAGCCTAGACTGTATGGTGAGACCCCATCTCAACAAACAAACAAACAAACAAACAAACAAAAGCTAAGAAAAGTCTAATACCTCAAAGCATTTGTAATGTGGTTTGAATTTTATTTTAGAAGAATGGTTTGAAGAAATCGCAAACATTTCTGTGATCTCTTTCCTATTAGATACAAAGAATGTCAGAACCATTTCTTTTTTAAAAAA